TGTGTGTGTGTGTGTGTGTGTATATATATATATATATATATATAGTACATAACTTGGTGTATGTATTTTATGCGTGCACTGTGTATACGGCATTATCTACCTGCGTACGCATATAACGACCTATAAAAATTGCCTACAGAAATATGTATGCCGGGTAAGTTTTATCATACATGCCCTAACTTACTATTCAACACATACTCACCTGCACATCAAGCAGCCTCTTTGTACTCCCCAATACCGCCAAGTAATTCTTCTCCTTACAAGCGCTCACTTTGATAGCCATTTCGGTGGGAAAGTGTACATTAAATTGCTGGCATGCAATCTGCAAGCAAACAGTAGGTAAACAATTGTGCTCCTGTGGGCGCCCTGTTCCTCCTTTTGCTTTAACTCTTCGCTCGCATTCCAATGCTTTACAAAGAACACGAGGCTGCAAACCGGCGAAGAACTTTTTGTATACTGTTTTGGTATCCATGGTGAAATGCGTGTGTTTATATATATGTTAGAGGAATTAAGTAATTTATTTCAATATAGTGTTAAGGACAAGTATACATAAGTTGTCGAGTGTAAGTGTGGAAAGCGAACTGTGATATAAGTATTGCGCTAACACCATCGATGCTGAAGTAGTCTGTGACACATATCGACGTCCTTTCCCAATTTATGGATATGAACATTTTACTATTCGATCGTGTTGCACACAGAGGCCAGTCTGGCCAGAGCACAGACACGGTCCGACGATCACCACGAAGAAGATTAAAAAACCAAGAACGAGTTATGTAGAAAGATAGAAAATCAAGGAACAGTGACACAAAAATAAACTTGCCGTTCATTAGCTAAAAATTAAACAGTTAACCAATGGAAAGACATAAGGAAACGAGGCGGGAAAACATTGCTCGGCAATTTGACATGCCTAGTTACAATGCCAATTTGACATAAATATTGCATTGCTATTGTAGCTTTAAGTACTATTTAGGAGGCTATGGCTTAACGTATATTTAATTTTATTTATGTGTATTTATTTACGTCTAAATACACATGTATTTCTCACTTTGTGACTTTATTTCTCTTAATTTTAGTTGCCGGCCTATGTCGTTTGCGTCGTCCTCCTACGATTTATGCGTATTTGTGCACAGAAGGACCGACTTGCTACACAAATAGCGAGACTATTGTACCAATGACACTGGATAGGTAACTATTCCAGCCAACACATGCGTATTAAGCATTTTAGGAAGTATGGAATTACAATGAATTATCCAAACCCGTAAACGTTCTGAAAAATGTATTTGTCTGATCAGACTTTAATTGTAATGTTAGCTACAGATCGGCTCTAGTGTTTGAGTGTGGCTATGATTAGTTTGTGAACGCATATATACACCTGCATATCGAGTTATCCCACAACTAACGACATACAAGCAAACGAATCTACTTAAAATGGTTCTGAAAAGGTTCATAGCGCGTGATATCCCCTTGATATGCACCTCCTTGTCTTGAAGTCAGTCATTAGCAGAAATATCACAGTATCCACTCCGCCAGCGCTCAGGAATGCAGTCAGCAGCGCAGGCCGTCACCAAATAGCCTCAATTCGATCGCAATTTTTCCAAGCATGAGTACATGTGTATCCTGTGCCCATGTTTGTATGTGTTTTTATCTCATCTAGTTGCAGACAACAGAAACCGTACGTGTACGGTTGTAAAACCCCTTAGCATAGTATTTAGTACCTGATATTTTGAGCTGTTATTTTTATCTTATGAATTTATTGAGATATGTGCGACATTTTTTCTTTTTAGTAGTGAGACACATGGGCGACCAAAACATAATTATTGAATTCGTGTTTAGATATATATGCTATACTCAAGTCAGAAAGCAGAAGTATTTCGATTTACAACGGTGTTTGAAATCAAACGTATATGAAAACCGCAGTTTATGCAACAAGATGGATAGACATGACAAATCACAGCAATACTAGATTGTATTGTAGCAAAACACCCTTTACAGTAAAGATTTTCTCTTCACGGCAACCTGCTAGAAAAAACACAACGGTTATGTGACTCTTGTGTCCGTACTACTATATAGATGTTAATAAGAGAACAGTTAAATGCTATAACCTGTGCTTGAAATACGGTTCTATAGAGGGCACCGCAGTATATAAATATATTCTGGTCAATAGACAGTTGGTCACGTGCGGTTTATCTCTTTTTTTTTCAACAAACCGTTTTAGTCTTTTTATGATAGGTTGCTGTTTGAAAGTAGCTCAGAAGTCACAAGACAGGAAAAAAAGCCGATGACATCAGAAATAGTGTTCACAACACTACTCTAATTAATAGGGCGACCCATACAACACATTGTATTTTGGAAACCGAAAGACAGGTTCCAATTTTATTGATTGAAAAGCACAAAACTTCTGTTACAATCCTAATTTCTCTAATTTAAGTTTGGATATGTCCGCTGTCGCGTCAGAAGCTATGTATTGGTACAAATAATATTTTGTTAAAATCCTAATTCTAAAATCGGGATAGTATATTTTGGTGATGGCGGTAGCAACGCAATTTGTTTTAAAAACAAAATAGAAAAAGACACGTCATTTGTCAATTGACAAATGCATCCATCAATATTTACTTCATGCTATTTTTGAATTCAAAACCCCCATTTTTTTACGTTAAAGTTTGATAAACGCTACGTTATATTAGCTACGTTGTGATTTGAGCGCTACTGGTCGAGCAGTTTATCCTTCTTGCGTTAAAGCGTATTTACGTTCAACGTTTACTGCATGGGCACGTACGTGACTCTCGAGTCTGAGTATTTATATCCCCTGTGGGTCTGTGACTGGTCCAAACTATTTAATCAGTAAAACCCACAGGGAGCCCTAGAATTTTTGTGTGTCATGCACTTTTTAAATGTCTATAAACTCGCGGGTGTATGTATTTATTTTGGACTGACGTCTGATGAACTGACGTCTGAAACTTGAGCTCTGCTAGCGCCACGGGAGCAATGGGGATACCGGATAACCGGACGAGTCATCCCAATAAGCAGGAAGCCTGGAACACAGTCAACACACCCACTCATCAATCAGGACTCAAAAGCAAGTGCCGAGTGTCAAAAAACACGAAGTAAAATATGTACGTGTGTCTGTATGGATAAAAAAATATATATAATATTGTCCATGTGAATAGAAAAAAGTCGATAAATATAATACCAAGGGGGACTTCGAGAAACGTTCTCATAAAGATAGACTGTTGTAACCTGCTACATACTATAATATAAAACTTAAGTCGATCTACTTAGACGTAGCCCTGTACAACACATTAGAGCTCATATAATATAGAACATAAACAAAATAAATTAAACGCATCAGTGCAAATGCCAAACGCAATCTTCCCCGGTGTGCCGAAGAGCCCCCGGCTACAACACCAGTATGCAACTCAGGATTCGCTCGCAATAAAGTATGTCATATGTGATGAACATGAATATTATTATTTCCATGTGTTTATGTATGCTTGCGCACACGCATATATATATATATATATATATATATGTCTGTGTCTAGGTGTGTCTGTGTCTGTGTGCTGTGTGCTGTGTCTTTAT